TCAAATTTACTAGGAACTAAGGAATGTAGTTTCTCTGAACACTTTCCATGAATTCGCCTCCAGTTCTGGGTTAATTAGTAAGAATTGTATCATTAAAGTATTATTATTTCTCAAAATAAAATAAAATTGCATACAAAATATTTACATTTCTGCATTAAATAACCCATAGAGGTGTTGATATGCCACTAAACAAAAACAAGCAACATTATTATGGAGTTTGATTAGATAGAAGTCATAGTAACTCTTGGTGTCTGGGTAAATATTAGCAAATAATTCAACATTTTATAAAAGATGCAGGTTTTTTTATTTTTTATTTTTTTATTTTTAGCTGTTTGGTGGAGGAGGTGAGGAGTGGAGCTCTTATACCCCATTGAATATGCTGCCAGTCTATGCTGTAGGTGGAGATTGTTAAAAGCTACATGTTTATTACTTACAATCTTTTCTATCTGTTTCTATTGATTTACAGAAAAGATTGTTTTTAAATTTTGGACTCTATGACCTTGATTGGGTTCAGGGAGGTAAAGTAGAGTAGGTGGAACATTATATTTTAGACATACAATACCTTGTATAAGTATTCACTCTCTTGAACTTTTCTACATTTTTCACATTATAGTTATAGCCACAAATTTAAATAATTCTATTGGGATTTTATGGAATGGACCAATGCAAAATAGAATATTATTTTGAAGTGGGGGAAATATTACATGGTTTTTAAAATTATTCACAAATAAAAATCTGAAAAGTGTTGAGTGCATATGTATTTACCCTCTTGACTGTGAAACCCATGATCCTTCAAAAGTCATATAATTAGTAAATAGAATTCACTTGATTATGACAGTTTCTCTTGAGTAAAGGAAAAGAGTTAAGATCCTTGATTCTGCACTCTCCAGTTAAATATGTCTTTTTTTGAAGGCCTCAGAGGTTTGTTAGAAAACATTACTAAACAGTTTTTGTTTTTTTTTGCTTTGTTTTAATTTTTGTTCAATGCCAACAAGATTTTTATTGCTAGTAATATTTTTTTTAAATATATAGCTGCTAATTTTTTTTTTCTAAAAGTATGACTGGTAATATTTTTTTTTCAAAAATGTATTGCTGGTAATATTTTTTTTTCAAAAATGTACACTGGTAATATTTCTTTTTCAAAAATGTATTGCTAGTAATATTGTATTGCTGGTAATAATTTTTCTTCAAAAATTTATTGCTGGTAATAATTTTTCACAAAATATTTCTGGAATTAAAACCTATTTTTACATTTTTATAGTGTTTTTACCCCAGTTTGGGGTTTGACTATTTACCCATAGCTGGGACCCTAACAGGTGCCACCACCCCGAGTCAGGGTGAACCTAGGAACACCAGCAATTAAAAGGTGGTTCCACTAAACAAACAGCCTCATGAAGACCAAGGAGGTCAACAGATGGGTCAGGGATAAAGTTGTGGAGAAATATAATGCAGGGTTAAGTTATCAAAAATATTCCATGTTTTGAACAGCTTCCAGAGTATTATTAAATCTATTATTTTAAAATGGAAAGAATATGTCACAATTGAAAATCTATCAAGACAAAGCTGTTCACCTAAACTGACAGAATAGGGGAGTATTAATCAGAGAAGCATTAAGAGGCCCAGAGGAACTGTGGAGGAGTTGCAAAGATCTATAGCTCAGGCGGGGTTATCTGTTCACTATTATTCATGCACTCCACAAATCTGGCTGTTATGGCAAGAAGAAAACTATTGTTGAAAGAAAGTCATAAGAAGTGAAAGAAGGAGCTCTCATCAGAAGAGACCAAAATTTTTGACTTTAATATAAAATGCTGCACATCATCATGAGCACATCATCCCCACATGATAGTGACAGTATCATGCTGTGGAGATGCTTTTCTTCAGCAGGGACAGGGAAGATAGATGGAGCTAAAAAACCTGTTATAGTCTGCAAAAGACTTGAGATAGGAGCAGAAGTTTGCCTTTCAACAGGACAACAACCTAAACATAATGATTTAGATCAAAGCATATTAATGTTGTTACATTCTTCCAAAAATCATATTCTTTTGATTCATGCTACACTAATTACCACCACTAGCCACATCTGAACACTCCAAATGCCCAAAACTCAACTAAAAATCCATCCACTGTGAAAGACTTGGCACATATCTTCCATTTCTTTTTTTTTTTTTTTTTTTTAAGCATTTCACCCCAAGCAAAGCGGGAAGCCACTAGGACGCAAGGGGTTGCAGAAAATTTAGAGCAAGATCAGGTAGGAGTGATAGAAGAAAGGATGAGGGTAGTGGATAGATACCACAATTGGAGATGTCGATTGACATTACACTTGAATAGCTGGAGATTATAGTTCACAGGGAAACAGGAGAAGAGAAGGGAGTTCCACAGGCGAGAGGTGAAAGACATGAAGCTATTAGAGAATCAAAGAAAAAAAAGCAATACAATCCAGAATTTTCACCCAATGGCATCCACACCCACCTAAAAAAAAATGAAAACTGGATCTGACTTGTGCCTCAAAAAGTAAAATAAAAGCCCATCAAATGCACGTTCAGCAGTTGGACAGCACCTTGACTCAAGTTCACATGCTCTTCAAAAAGTGGCCTCTCATCTTCAAAGACATCAGACTTGACCAGCTCACCCACACCTTTGCCCCAGTAAATCACAACTTATCCTCACTACCCTTCTGTACACCTCATGGGATGCCTTTACAACCCCAATTATCTCTACACTGATTTTTTCAATTATTGTATTTTATGTTAATACAATTGTTTATTGCTTTGAATTTTTGTTGTTTCTTTTTCATTCTGCCACCATATGCTTAGTCATGTGAAAACACATGTTCATATCATAACAATGTATCTCAGTCAAACTCAGAGCTAAACTCAACTGAGAAATTGTGGAAAGATTTGAAAACTCGTGTTCACAGATGGTCTCCATCAAATCTGACTGAGTTTGAGCTCTTTTGCAAAGAAGAATTTGCAAAGATTTCTCTCTACAAACAAAGCTGGTAGAGACATACCTCAGAAGATTTGAAACTAATTGCAGCAAAAGGTGGTTCTAGAAAGTACTGAATCTGTCAGTGGGGAATACTATTGCATCCAAGAGATGACTGCTTTGAAACCCTAATTATTGTTTACATCACAATAAAACATATTTGCACTTTTAAAGCATTATGCATTTTGTGTTGATCAAATGGTAAACAGACTGTTACAAATGAGTTCATCATCAGAAGTTCACCAGTGTGGATACTTATTTTATTGGAACTTCAGTAATAAAACAAACTGACTGAAGGGTTTCAAACAAATAATATATTTTTATTTATTTTCCTTAGTGTGATGAGTGAGTTCTTTAGTATTTGGCATAGCAAAAAAATTGTTAATAAGGCAGATATTGGTAGCAGTCTGGAGAAATGTCCATTTCAGTGTTTTGGACTAAGACCATGGTAGGGATAGTAGTAATCTCAGAAATTAGTTTGATGTCAATCTACTTTGCTTCTCAGGCTGGAAATGTCAGTAGCAGATGACATTTTAACTGCTTCTACATGTGTCACACATGACTGGTTTCTACATGGAAGTGTTCTTTTGTTTCACCCTCTCCAGCCATCCTTTCTGCCACTAGACCAGAGGTGTCAGTTTATATCCTTTTGAATAAGCTCAGAGTTTATGGTGGGAACTTTGTTTTCAGCTAACATCAAAAGTCTCTTTGTGCCAATTTTTTTGAATGGCCAAATGATTTTATTTTCTGGTGTTTGTTTTGTTTTCATTTTTTGTATAACAGGAGTGTGGGGCCGATGTGATTTTTTTGTATTTTTCAGTCACAAATAAGTAAGCTTGGCTCTTGTAAACATTTGGTGTTTTTGGTCATGTTCAGTCTTTTCTTCTTCTTCCTCTTTTTATTTGCCTTCTTGTATGTTGAGAGAAGTTTAGAGAGAGAGAAAGAAAGAGAGAAAAAATGAGATAAAGGTTTTAAAGGAAAGCACAAATGTCTTATTTTAATTCAAATTCTTAATTTTTTTGTTTATATATTTTATTCTTATTTGTTTTGTTTATTGGAACTTACAACAAGACCATTTAAACTCATTTGAATTGCATTTGGTAAAAAAAAAGATGTGAAAATGTTCAAGCGAGTGAATACTTCTGCAAGGGTCTGTAACTTATTTGGAAAACCTGCACAATATACAATTCAAATTTGTATCAACCAAATGGCTTATTCACCCAACCGTAATGCAAGTATCTAGTTATTCAATACAGTAGTATTTACTAGCATAGCTTCCGGGTGTCTCTAAGGTCCTGGAGTTGGGCACAAATTGAGATTTCACTTCTGGCAATTTATTTGTTTGGTCTCAGAATAATTTATTTTGCAGAATGTTGAATTTCATTGAGACTTGCAGTCAGTTCAAAAGAGAAACACAAGACTTTGCCAAAGGTTAAATGAAAGTTGCTTTTGCTTACCGACAAATTTAGTTTAGAGGCTGTTCATGATTGAACTTGATCACTCATGGACTGATAGGACTTTCACTGGAATTTCAACCCTTCCCCAATAGACAAACAATAATATACAAAATGATAAAAGTAAAAAAAAATAATAAAAAAACATGACAAGTTAACTCTTTCCAGACACTTGTGGATAATATAACGATATCAGAATTATCCACTTGCATTTATAAACATCGATACTCATATAAAAACATAGATGCACACATACCAATTTATTAAGATAACAAATCATAGCAGCAGCAGTAATAAGTTTCGATTGATTTATTTATTGATTGTTTTCTATGGCTTATCAATTTTTTGCAGGTTATTTAAAGCCAGAAAATATTTTTAGATGATAAGAATTGTTTTTAAAAGATAATAATGATTTAATAATGCAAGTTTTAATAATTAACCCATAGCTAAAGAAGAAAAGGTGGAGTCATACTTTTCCCAATGGTATTTGTGCATTGGAACTCGGCTCTCCATTCAAGAATTTCAAGCCATTATCCCTTACACCACCTATACATCCAAGTTTCCAGCACCTGGTATTCTTGAGTGGTAACCCATCTAGGTACTGACCAGGCTCAATGTTGCTTAACTTTGGTGATAATACAGGAACTGATGTTTCAACATGCTATGGCCATAAGCCAGTAATATGTCTTGTAGACTCTGCTGTGGAGTATAGAGGAACAACTTCATCATAGTGCTGTTGCTATGGTTTCTATAACAATTATAATCACATTCAACTGTTTCTTTTAAATCAGATTCATCTTTTTCCAAGGCTAGTTGCTAAACATAACTACTTTCCAAGTGTTATCTACCTCTAACAGTGCTCTTCGGTAACCCTCTATTTTTAGTGGCTCTTGGGCCTTGTATTGGGTGAACAACAGTAAAACAAAAATGCATATAGAACCCAGTTGGGTCTGCTATCAACCCTTAACTAGAAGGAAAAGAGATTTGATTCATGCTTTTCCAAGGGTATTTGTGTGAAAGTGAATGCATTGACCTCAGCTGGAATTTGAATTCAGAATGTCAATCTCACTCTCCATACTGATAACCCCTATGCTACATACACAACCAAGGTAACACAGATGATTGTAGACGTGACATGGTCTACTGATGCCACCTATATAATGATTTTTGCAAACTATTCTGGCATACTATTGCTACTGACTATGAATTTTTCATCTATATAATATTGTGGCCCTGTACAAGATGTTGTCAATTATAGAAAATATCTATTTTTAGAACCTGTTGTAGAGATATACAAAGCAAGTTAGTACTGTAAGTCACTGCTAGTGATACCAATTGTCAAAGGGTATTCTCAATATTGTGCTTCTGTGCTTGGCTTTGTTGAGTTTGGTTAATATTTACTCTAGTGGATATGTGTATTACCCTTTGGAAAACTTTCTTCAAAATTTGTATAACTTTGATTAGCATCAGAATTTTTCCTTTTCATTTTATTTACAAGAAGTTTAATTTCCTTACATTTATTGTAGAAGAATCTATAACCTTTTTACTAATTAATAAGAAAATGTTGAGTAATAATGTAATGAAAATTTATTAAAGGAAATATCATATAAAGATATATTAAAATTCATCAAATCTTATCTTAAAATATCATCTTAAAATTTATCATATATCTTCTTAAAATATATTAATATTTATCAAATGTTTCCTTAAAATATTAAAATTTATCAAAGAAAATATGTTAAAGTATAATAGAAATTATCAGATATCATCTTAAAATATTATATTAAAATTTATCAAAAGAAAATATATTAAGAAGAATAATTGTCAAATGTATCTTAAATATGATTAAACTTTATCAAAGGAAATATCATGTTAAAGTATCACATTAAAATTTATGTCTCCTTAAAATACCACATTAAAATTTATAAAATATCCTCTTAAAATATCATTAAAATTTATCAAAGGAAATATCATGTTAAAATATATTAAAATTTTTCAAAGGAAATATATTAAAATATTACATGAAAATTTGTCAAATGTCCTCTTAAGATATCATTAAAATTTATAAAATGTCCTCTTTAAATATCTTTAAAATTTATCAATAGAAATATCATGTTAAATTTATTAAAATTTATCAAATATCATGTTACATTCAGTTATTTATGTGCCATGCATGATACATGCTTAGGCAATCATGTATCTTTTGATACATAACTGATGAGGCAGATTTTTTCCCAAAGTAGGTTGCCATTTCTTTTTGTGGTAGACCAGTTGCCATCCAAGGCTATAGAACCCAGTCTGTCCTGCTATTTACCTATATCTGGAGAGAGAAGATGAGGGTTCATACTTTTCCCAAGCGTATTAGCACATAAGTGAATGTAATGGATTCAACTGTTAAAATACCATATCAAAATTTATCAAATGTCCTCTTGAAATATCATATTAAAATGTACCAAACAAAATCTATCTTCAGTACTTTTTTGTGATTTTCATGGTCAAATGTGTATTTTGTTTAGTTAATATGCAGTACAAAGCTATCTTTTAATGATAACTTTGGTGACAGGGAGGTTGTGATTGGTTTCAAAATAAACTTTTCTCAGAGAGTTTTTCTTTCTTTTTCCTTGTCTAATTGTGTAATTCACAAAGCCAATTAGAAATCCTGATCGAGTTGAATGTTTATATATCTGGATATCTCTCCTTAATCTAAAGGTTATGCCATTTACTTAACATATCATAAGTAAAACAAAAGAAAAGAATCCAACTCTGTCAGGTAAAATGTCAACACAAACTTTGTGTACGATATGTCTGATAAGAGATAGCAGCAGCAGCTTACTGTTTCAAAATCAATTTTTGTTTTGCTGAACTTTGATTATTCCTTATTTTAAATGATTCAATTTTTTTCAATAGCAATAGCATAGTGTGGCACAAGGTCAGATGAGGTTTAGAAGATTTTTTTGCATGAATCTTCCAAATGGGAAGGGTTGTCTGGCTTTAAAAACCAGCATTCAAACACTGGTGGAAAAGTTGCAACTGTCACAGTTATAAGATCAGCCATTTTACCTGGGGTTAAATCACAGCATAGGGTCACTCAACTCATACTATTAATTGATACTATTTACATTATTTTGACTGTTTTCCACATCTTTATTGTCATATTCAAAACGTTTCTGCCATTGTATTCTCTGGCCTTCTTCAGGTGATATACCCTGGAATTTTGAACCCAACCCTTTATTTCGTCTACTGGGGTAGATTGTTCTAGTTCCACATGCCATACCTTTTCTGGATATCTCAGTTTCAGTTATTTCCCTTTAGTAACTTAACTCTCCTAGTTTTTGTTCACCTCTGCCAAGTATTGAACTCACAATTCTTTGGGACAAGTCAGCATCTTGGATTCAATCATTTCCCCATCACCATAAACTAGCTCCCTTGTGCCTTTTCAACAAATATTTTAATGGCAATTGCTTTGTTGACATTTCTGCATTCATATATGGACTTCATGGATTTAAGTATAGTACTAGATTGGCAGCTAGGTCTCATTATTTTATTGTTGAAATTGCTAAATATAATAATTCTATTCTAATATTTTCTTTGCTTACAATTCTCATCTGTGGAACTCTTTTCTAGCTTCTTGCTTTCCTCCTAACTGCAATCTACAAAAATTTAAATGCAATGTCAATTGTCATTTTCTGTCTCATTGAATCCTGTTCTTTTTATTGTTCTTTCTACTCAGTTTCCTTCATTCTATTGTCCCTCACTCTTAGTAACCCCTTTCATCTTAGTGGCTTTCTTGAGGTGAAATGAGCTTTAAAAAAAAAACACTTCCTATATATTACACTGAAATTTAAATTAATATTAACAATTAATCCTCTACTATGTGCTCCCAATATAAAGAAAAACATTAAATGAAATTAATTTTTAATATTTAATATTATTTAAAGTTGGCCTGAATTTCTCAACTTTGTTGTTCTGATCACAACATTTTGGCCATTGTGCTCTACGGCCTTCTTCAGGTGTCTGTCAGTCATGGTAAACTCCAGAGAATTTCAAACTGAACCCTTTATTTCTTGTTCTTTTTTTAATTACAGCTCATTTGTTAGGCATCTTTCCACTGAGCAGTACCAAAAAAAGGCCAAGGCAAGATATCTCATGAAATGAAGAGAGGAATGAGAACAAGCCACTCTACTCCTGTAGATTAAATGGAAGGTCCAATTGAAAATTCAGTGGCAAATAGAAACCTGAAGAAGGCTTGAGGGCACAACTGCCGAAACACTGTGATAATGAAAACAAAGAGATGGACATATAGTCTTAATGTAAATAATGATAACTCCCCTTTGAAAAATAATGATACCTCCCCTTTAATAAAAAAATGATAAAAATATAGTTTTATGGTATACTATATAAGTGTGGGCTGAGAGCTAAACCCTTTTTCTGTAGGTACTTGATAACACCACAATACTAAATTTTGTCCATTTTCAAGAGAAGTCACTACTAGTTACTTTTGAAGTCATCTTTGAACAGTTAGATGTCAGTTTAATTGGAACGAAAATGTAATTATTAATAAGAAGAGCTGAAATTAACTCATGCATGATTTCACAGTTCTAGCATCACTCTTTCATAATCAGTCTATGAACATTTTATCCCACCCATATATTAATGGGTAAAAGTGCTCATTATCAGATAGATCTTATATAAATCTAAAAGTCAACACTGAAGTCAGTAACAAGCAGTGACAGTCTGTTGCATGCTTGGGTGCAATCTTCAGTGGCCTTTTATATATATATATATGTATATATACTGAACTCTCCCATTGTTTTCAACATATGAGGTTCAAACAGCTCAGTTCTTAGAACCAACAGTTAGACTACCTGCACATATCATTTGATTATAGTGGTGAAGGTTTGTGCTAAACCATCCACTATGTTTAGACGAACCAAATACAGAGAACTGGTTCAGAGTGTGCTACAGGTTCCCCAAATGACCCTCTGCAGGGTTTAAATTCAGAGTTGTCCTTCTCGTAGACTGGTTGCCACCCAAGGATATTGGACATAGTTTGTTCTGCTATTTAACCATAGCTGGGGAATGGGGAAGAAAGGATAGCTTCATATCTTTCCCAATAGTATTAGCACATAAGTGAATGGAATGGATCCGACTGGAATTTATACTTGACTCTGATTTGTCAATCCAAGTCACAATCCACTACACCACAATGCACATGTCTGTCTGTCTGTCTGTCTGTCTGTCTCTTTATATATATATATATATATATATATATATATATATATATATATATATATATATATATATATATATATATATATAGAGGAGGCATGGTGGGGTAATGGATAGCGGCTTGGATTGAGGAATCGCAGAGCCGAGTTCGAATTCCAGTCGAATCCATTACATTCATTTACGTGCTAATACCCTTGGGAAAAGTATGAATCCTCTTCCTCTCCCTCCAGCTATGGGTAAAATAGCAGGACAGACTGGGTTCTATAGCCTTGGATGGCAACTGGTCTAGGAGAAGGACAACTCTGAATTCAAAACCTGCGGATGGTCGTTTGGGGACCTTGTGGCATATATATATATATTTGTGTGTGTGTGCATGTTTATAAAGATAAACACTGTATTTTATATTATAAAGTTTTCTATTTTAATTCATTTGAAGTTATTTTT